AGAATCACCTATACCTTGCCTGTCCATTCTAAGAGATCGCTTGGTTTGTATCAGTCTTTTCCATAGGAAATCACTCATGCTCTGAAACACAGATTTCTTTTTCCCCAGCCTGTGTGACATTGTCTCAGGTGAGTTCCACTACAGCCACAGGAACAATGGGACTAGAGGGGCTCTGTCAAGAAAAACACTCACTGCTGCTGCTACCATTACTGTCACCCACCCAGATGGGCTGCAGATTTATCAGGAGTGAAGGCAGCTGCTAAAGGTCCACAAGGAATGAAGTGTCCTTGGCCTTAAACTGTTAGGACAGCTTACTCTTTACAAGCATACTTCCTGTTTAGTTTGCATTGTGCTTAATATCTGAGCCTAGGCGAGGTAACCTGTTTGGAAAGAAATACTATTAGCATAATCACTGTTTTATTAAAGCAATGCTGTGAAGGCATGGTGTTGTCATTTACAGACAAATGAAAGATGAGATCTTTCTTGAGATCTTTCTTACATCAAAGAAATCAACATCTTCTTGTGTGTGGGTGCCACAACCCACACAGCTGTAATATTTTGAAGGACTAAAGTCTAAATAACATTCTTTGTTCGGGGAGGAACATGACATGGGTTCCAAGTACCCAGTAATGAGATTAATACAGAGCAATGCACCAACATTCTGGCTTTCTCTATATGATTCCTTCTCTAGTCTTCATTGCTGTAGTGAGTTGAGGGGGGTGAGTTAGAGTTTAAAGGCTTTATGGAAGAAAATGTTATAAACAAGGTTTAAGCTGATGCAGCTGAATGAGACTGCAGAAGTACTCAGAAAGGACTAACCCGTCAATGACTGGATTTTCTAAATAAGTGGGAAATAGTGTAAGATATTTTTGTGTTCTTCCTCACAGTTTATGTGTTCAATAACACGGTAGGGTTTTGACTTCAGACAAACATTCTGTTCAAAAACTATTACTGTAAATTAAAAAGTAAAATTTTGTCAGTAATGCTGTTTTGTCTAGTTTTTTTCATTTCCAAAATGTATTTGTAAAAAAGACAAGAACTACATTTTGCCATTCTAAGTCTCACAACAGGATTGACTGGTGCCATCTACTGGCTATTTAGTCCTTTTAAATTCCAAAAAATTATGAATAATGTGTTTTAAATGCAGAATAATAAGAACATTATGAGCCTTATAACTGAATCAGCCGACATCAAGCTATGTAATTGGCAAATCTGTAACATTTAAATAACATTAGGTGAAACTTCAGTACAATGTTCCAACAGTGCAATTCAATTATGAAGCTTTTAGATGTGTCAAGAGGAGAAAGCTCATGTACAAGTACTCGTGTGCAGACTCCAAGCATTATCACCACACACATCCCCCTGGTGTGTGAGAGGAAGGCTTCTTCCTGACAACTGCCACTGCTTGAGATCCCTCCTCCACAAATCACATGGGGCACTAACATGTTCATGCAGCAGGGTAAACATGGTCACCTTGCTGTTTGCCTTGGCTGGAGGGATGTCACCACAAAAAAATTGGATGGAGAAAATGGTGTTTTAGCTCATAGCCCAGGCAAGACGTGAATGTTTCTGCTGAGGGTGGGTTTAAGCAAGCTGGAGGGAGCATGGGCATGGAGGGGATGGCACAAAGCCTGTTCCAGAACATCCATTGCAAAGATGGTGGGAGCAAGCAGAGCTTGGAAGGGATCTGCTGTGCATGACTGCTGAATTCCCTTCTGCTAAATTTGTTGAAAGACATCTGAAGATGACCTAGGATTTAAATAAGGCTTTAAATAACTTATACTCTCTGCAGTAAAAAAATTAAACTATAATTATTTGAGGCAGTGCCAGGGAAGATCAGCAAATCAATATTAACTGGAATGTTAACAATATCTCCAGTGCCAGGTAAGAAAAGTATTTACACATCTGAGTAGCTGCATCCCTAATCAGCAATACAGCTGAGCACATGCTTAAAATACTAAATCATGCTTGAAGGTGCTTTGCTAGATACCAAAGAGAGTGCTCACACTCCCCCCTCTGGTTAGTCAAGACTTTAATAGAGCCAGAAACAAATATATTTAGATCACACTCTGAGAACCAGCCTCTGGAATAACTTGCTTAACAACTAGGTTCTGAGCAAAGAAAGTATATTAATAGAGTGACTGAAGAAAGAAAGGGTTCATGCTTCCTGTTCTCTGCCTTTTCCTGTCATCTAATAAAAACATGACAGTCTTTAGGGAAGGAAAAGAATGTTACTTAACCATATCTGTTTTTCAGAGATTTATGTTAAAAAATGCATTCTGATGGAACAAACTATGCCACAACTTTACATAATGCCTTAGTCAATGGAACTAGAAAGGAAAGAGAGTTCATTAGAAATCTGGTGGAGTGTGAATCTGCACTGAACATGCTTTGTCTCTGCAAGGTTTCAGTGTGTCTGATGCTGCTCCCAGAGCTGAGAGCAACTCTGGAACTTCAGCAAGGGCTGATCAAGAACTTCCCAATAAGAACTTCTGCAGAAGTGGAGTGGGGAAATTGTCCCTTGCATGCTCCTGGGGCTCTCACTTCCAGACCCCTAGAGTATGTGGCCTCTCAGAGCTCATGAAAAGAAAAATGTAGTATTTCCAGGATAGGAAGAGCTACTGAGAGACTAGGACAGAAGACAGCTGGAAGATGAGAAATGGAGCAATGACAAAGGATAATATAGATGGGTTTATCAAATAGTAAAGTACATTAACTTCCACAACCTGCAAATAACATTTAATTTAGCATCATTTGCTTGTTTGTACAGCAAATTTAATTCCACGTATCAAGTTACTCCATGTGCTCGAGTGCCAGGACTATGTGGATATGCAGCAGGTAGATATAATCCTCCTCATGATTCATAGAGGTGCTGAAATGGTATGGTGTAAGGGAACATGGAGCAGTTTTATGTTTCTTTAGGGTGACACAGGCAATGACACACAAAATATCTGCACAAATAGAGAGCTTCCAGATACTTATTGTCTTTTGAATAACCACATGCAGGTTTCATGCTCTCCACACACAATCCATGGAGGGATTCTCTGGATGAATGTGCCAGACTGCACAGACTATCCAGGGGCTCATTAGAAGAGAAGCAGTGCTGCCTGAACATCATCAAACCATTCCTAAATCTGGTTTGCATGTCTCGGCATCTGGTGTTTCCTGTTCCAGTCCTGGAGCATGGAGCAACTTGCATGGCTGAACAACAGCCTGATGAGACCTTGGATGGCTCCATGCTGAGAAATTTGGTCACCTCTGCTTAGTAACATTCCACATTTCTATAGTTAGGTCTCATTAGTTCAGGTCTGTGTTTGTGAACACAGTTGAGCACTACTGGCCAGTACTTGTCTGGTATGTGTGGTCTCGGCCAGCAGCAGGTGCGGGAGCAGTGGGAGGACAGTTCACACATCCTCCAGCTGCATTTCTGGAAGACAGCAGTGTCTGAGCACCAAAGTCACTACAATGCTCCTCCTTCACTTGAACAGTCTCTTTCCCTTTGCTCTCACCACAGCATCCCTTTCCTCACCAAATATTTCTGATTACTTCCCTTTCCTTCATTAAATTAAATTGTTGAACATTGACTTCTAATATCAATCTCTTCCTCAGCTGTAGCCTCATCTACTGAGTGTCTGCACCCATCATGTCCTGAGGATTCGGGCCTTTTGCAGGATGGCAGCTTGGGTGCCAGCAAAAGTAGCAGTGAAAGTAGCAACCAGGGTGGCAGTGAAAATCACAGCAGGGCTGGCAGAGAGAGTGACAGTGAAGGTGGCAGCAAGAGTGTCAGTGAAGGTGACAGTGAAGGTGGCAATGAAGGTGGCAGCAAAGATGTCAGTGAAGGTGTCGGTGAAGGTGGTGGTGTCGGTGAAGGTGGCAGTGAAGGTGTCGGTGAAGGTGGCAGTGAAGGTGACGGTGAAGGTGGCAGTGAAGGTGTTGGTGAAGGTGACGGTGAAGGTGACGGTGAAGGTGGCAGCGCGGGGCCCGCCGCCCTCTGCCGCGGGGCCTCCCGCCTGGCAGAGGCCGAGGTGCGTTGGGAAACAATCCTCGAGATCGCTTCCAACGGCGGGACAGGTTCACGGCCCGACACTCGAATGTCTGTAAATTGCCTTCAGAATTTATACAGTGCGTTACAGAGATGTTTAGGAAAACCCCAGTGCCGAGTCAGTTTGAAGGGATTTTCACGCCGTTTCCGTCTGTACTGCAGTCCCGGAGCCCTTCTCTGCCGGGGGTCCCCCGGCATGTGAGGCGCGCTGGGACAGCACGGACGACTTCGGGGCCGTGGCCGCATGGCCGGGCCGCTGCTCCCCGCTGCTCCCCACTGCTCCTCACTGCTCCCCACTGCTCCTCAGAGCCCCGGCCGGGGCCCCGCCCGCCGCCACCGGCCCGCAGCCCCGCCGGGGCGGGAAGGTGCAGCCGCCCCGCCCCGCCCGCCAGACGCCACATCCTGCAGGTGCCGCGGGGCGGCCATCGCGGAGGGGCCGCCACCGGTGAGTGCAGCGGGCAGCGGGTCAGGGCCCCGTCCCGTCTCGTCCCAGGGAGCAGCGACTCCAACTCGGAGCGTTGCCGCGGGGTGGCCGCCGGGAGGCGGGTCCCGGTGAGGGGGCGGCGGGGGCGCGGCCCGGGCGTGGCGGGGATGCGGCGCCGGGGCCGCGCCCGGCGAGCCCCGGGTCCTGGGCCGACTGCACTGCCGAGCCCGCGGGCGCCGCTTCCCAGGGCGGGGCTGGGAACGGGGCGTTGGGAGCGGCGGCGGCTCCGGGGCCCGGGCGGGAGCGGGGGACGAACGCGCCGCTCCCGGAGCGCGGCTGCGGCGAGCCGCGGCCCCGGCGGCGTGTGTGGGGTCGGGGAGGCGCCGCGGGGGCACCCGGCCCGGCCGGAGCCGCCCTCTCGCCTGCAGGCCGGCCGGGAGGCCGAGCTCGGCCTTCGGACGGGTGGTCGCGGTCGGGTTGTTTCTGCTGTTCACTTCTCTGTCCCGTCTTTGCACGTCCAGACTCGAAGAAGAAGGGATTTAGCAAAGTCGCGCTCAGCTAAAATGGGACAATAGCTAAAGCAGCTCTGAGGAGTCTGATTGTGTGCCTTGCTGCCTTGTGCCGGAGCTAGCAGAGGAAGATGCGTGTTTTTATCCTTGTGCAACGCCAGTCTGTCTAACTACTGAACAGAGCGATGTGCTGAAGTTGGAGATCCTGACAAAATGGGAGCACTTGTGTTCTCTGCGACCTGCAGTTTACTTCTAGCTCTGGTGCAAGGGCACAGCTTATTCACCTGTGAGCCAATTACTATTTCCAGATGTTCAGGAATGCCTTACAATATGACTTTTTTCCCAAACCTCATGGGACACTATGATCAGGACACGGCTGCTCGCAAAATGGACGTAAGTTTCTCACCCCCGTCTCCCCCCCCCCAAATTGTATGTAACAAATTTGTCATTAAGAAACTATTTGGGATACCTGTTGCACTGAATGACAAGACTGGTAATGTTTAGTGAGTAGATGTGTCTTCAAACAGAGTGTTCTAGAGCTCCTGGTAAAGCACTATATAAGGGGAGCTACCAACTTCCTCCCTCCGCCCTGCCTTGGATCCTGTATTAGAGTGGAAGAGGAATGGGTGTAGCACAGCAATGTGGCTATTCAGAGCATTTTGGCAGAGCTGATCACATGTGGCTCAGGCACTTTACTGTTATACAGAACAATTGTTGAAATTCTCAGGAGAAATAGTTTATAATATCCTGGCCTGCCTGAACTCAGTGCAAAAATCATATTTAGAAGATGCTCTTTGCTCCTCTGTCACCTTACATCTACTAAGGAGGATCACCTGAAGTTATTCTTAGCCCTGTTCTCCATTGTGGCTTTTGCATTCTGATGTCTTCTGACTGGATGCTGAAACTTCTGACTGAAAGAGCAACTTTACTCTTTTAAACTGAAAATAAGCACTTTTCTTACCTGAACTGACTCTAAGTGTGGCTCCCCTGAGAATATGCCTCGTTGTGGAAAGGCTTTGCCCATAGCAATACCTGTGAAGGGTGAGAGCCTCTCTGGGTGAGAGGCTTGTAAAACAAGTTTTAAACCTGTTTTAATAATGGCTTTTCAGTGGTAAGAGGAGGGGGAAAAACTTAACACAGGTCTTGAAAAGCTCAGTGTCTTGTGCTATGCAGAGAGTGCAACAGAAGTGAGGTGAATATTAAGTTTCTGTTTCAAAAAAAATTATATGTGGTGTTGAAGGTACTGCTACTAAAATCTTATTTGCATACTGTTTACTGAGCTTGGAGGAGGAGCTTGGTTCAGCTGCCGAAACATGTTTTTAGTGTTGCTCGGGATAATCACAATTCCCTCCCAGCCTGGAATAGCATAGGCTTTGGTCTCATGTTGGTTTTGTCAACCCAGTGTAGATGTGTGAGAAATTCTGGTATCAAATGTTAAGCCATCTGTATGCAGACAACTGAATTTGCTGCAGATCTCTGACAAATTGAAGGCTTTTTAGTTGGAAGGCAGGCTGTAGGCTTCAGGTGTGAGCTGTGCAGTGCTTCTCTAGCCATCACTTCTCAGGAATGCTTCCTGCAGTGTCTGCCACTTTATCTCCTCAGATATGCTGCTGCTTCTGACTCGGTGTGTGTTAACTGCAGCCATTGAGCCAGCACTTGTCAGTATTTGTGCCTTCCAGTCACGCTGCTGCTAGGGCAGAAAGACCACAGAGCCATTTTTATTAGGTTGTTATGGCTGACTTTTCTCAACTGTCAGTAACTTGTGTCTAGTGCATGTGTGGAGTGAGTTCCTCCTGGAAAGTATTCATGGCTTGCCTTACATATAGCTACCTACCTTCTTGTATAGCTATTTCATTAACAATTGTGTGGTAGTGAGAAGTTTTCTTGTTTTCTCTCTTTTTCCATCCTGTCACCCTTATAACCTGACTACTAGTGTTGGATTACTACTCAGCCAACTGGCTGGGTGGCTGCAGGGAACAACAGTGTCTATTAGGGTTTAATTTGCCTACCCTCTTTGATTTGCTTCCTAGTCTCCTGTCATTCCCACTGCCTGGCCTCTAATTTGATATTCCTAACTACTCTGGTGCTGCGCAGACATTTCTGAGCTGCCTCTTGTGTGGTGGGCTGCCTGCCTTTGTTGTGGTCCAGCAGTGATGATGGATTACTTGGTCAAAGAGAATTTTTAAGACAGCTGCTTTACAGGTGAAAGGGTCTTTGCTCCACTCTGTATGAAGTTCATGTTGAATCCACTGCTAGTGGTTAGATTTGGCATTAAAATGGTAAAAGCTTACCGTGGTTCATTGCTGGGCCTTCTTTCTGAGAGGGACCAGTGTGTACCGGTGTCACATGTTTTGATGTCATTCTTCATATCATTCAGTAATGGTGCCAGTTTGTCCATAGTTGATTGCAACTGAGAACCTTCTCAGGATTGTCAAAGGATTCTGCTTTTCAGGGGATTTTCAGTGTTGCAGCAGGGGAGGAGGAGTCACTCACTTCTGGAATAGCGTTTAATTTCAGTTTGCAGCCATAACAAGGCAGTGTGTTAGGAGGTGGAGGAGACTTCTGTTGTTTTAAGAGCTTAAATTTTTTTCTAATTTTCAGTCCAAACTTCATTCATACCAAAGAAAGAATTTTAATGGCATGTTTTCACTCCATAGAAGTGCTTTCCTTTGATCCTCAGTAGGAATGCTTAAAGGCTTTCTTTTTTAATTCTGTCTTGCTCTTCCCCCTCCCTTCCCCCTGTTCTCAAAATTGGGCATGAGATTTACATATTTGCATGTAAGGTCTCACAGGGTTTTGAGGTTGAGGCCTGCAGTATTTTGCTCCCTGTATCATAACTGACTTTTAGTAGGATCATCCTAAGGAACAAGGTAGGGCCTTCTTCCAGAAATCAAAAATATTTTGTGCAAAGAGCCCTAGTGTTAATGCAGGTTTATGTTTCTACCCCCTCTAAGAATTTTTGGGGAGTGTTTGCTCCCCAAAAGGATGGTGATTTGTCAAGGGGGCAAGTCTCACCACAAGGTGAAGTTCACTCTCCAAAACAATGGTAACTCACAATGCCCCACTCTGAAGGCTCTACAGGTGTGTTCTGCTGCAAGGGAGTGTTGCATAGCAAGAAGAGCTGTGCTGGGGGTGTGTTAAATTGGTATTTCTGGATGGTGTCTTCACAGTAATCCTCCAGAAGAGGATGATGTGGAGCTACTGTCTCAGGTAGTGGTTGTCTTTGAGGAAAGCAGCTGATAGATGGTTTTACAATTCTGCCTCATGTATCAGCTGTTCATAATGATGTGCTATAAACCAGAACACTGCAACACTAGAACAGGAAGATGACTAACTCAGTCCTAGGGCCTCTGTATGGATGTTCTGGCTAGTGAGGATAGTCCCTCTGGGATCTTGTTTTCTGCAATAAAAGATATGTAATTTCTAGTTGCTCCCTCCATTCACATTCCTCCATTATTTAGTTTAATTTTGAGCTTTCAACTTGACAGACCGAGTTTTGGCTTCTTGAGTTTTATACTTTATATTTGGATTCATTTTGTTTACACAACAAATGGTGGCTTTAGGAAAGTAAAACCACATGGTTTTGTGGTGTGAAGTTTTGGGTATGTTTGCTAAACAGCTGCATGACTCTGGAATCTGATTATTTGCAGATGCCTACCATCTCTGTATCTCAAAGCAGTTTATCAGTAACTGTTCTTGTTACTACTAGTTCACATTGGGAGGTGGAAGATGTACGGTTTGTCTGATGAGGAAAATGAGTGGACATAAAAGAAGATCTGGTTCATTACAGCTGTACTTAAATAGGTGTAACTCCCCCTCGTGGTCGTCCACAAAAACAAGTCACTTCTAATTCCAAAGTAATTCCTACTTTAACTATCCTGGTATAGGTTGTCAGCTGAAGGCATTATTCCATCAAGGCAGAGAGTTACTGTGTTGTAACTTACATTCGTATCTCTTAATCTGTTCTGCTGCAGTTCTGGAATGTGTCCACAGGAGACAAGCCCTTAAGACTTCCTGTTGTGGGCAAGATCCAGGTCTGTAGAAGTACAAAGGGAAAAGCCTTGCCAGTGAGCTTTTAGAGGAGACTATAGAAAACACTGGAAAATGTTGCACAGAGAACAATGAAGTACCTCAGAGAGACTGAACAAATGATTCAGTAGTGAGTTTTCCACTCACTTGTGAGTTCATGGCCATGTGCCAGAATATGTGTGTGTGTGTCTGTGGAGGGTTAAATGCAGCTGGCTGCAGCAGTGGCAGAAATTGTGTGAGAACTGGGGTCAGTTGAAACAAAGCCATTTAGAGGGGGTTAAAAAGTACCTTCCAAAGTTTAATACTGAAGTTGTGTGAGTTAAAATTTGTAATGTAGTGGCTTCATTTGCTTCCACTAAATCCAAATTTACAGTTAATTCAATATAACAATACTTATAAAAACCTGCAAACCTGGTGTCTGCAAGCTTAAGTTGGTACATGTGTGTGTGTACACACAGGAAGGAAAAAGCTGTCTACCACTGTAGGTTGGGAGTTTAGGGCAAATAAGTGCTGTTTCATGAAAAGGTTATTACTGGGATAGCCTGCAAAGTATCACAGATGTGAATTTACTTAATCTCTAGAGACAGCCATCTTTGCTTCCTGCTTGTGCTCCACATGAGCAGTGCTCGGTGTAATACATGAAACACTAGTACTTGAAACTTGCAGCTTAAATCTCAGCATCTTTTAGGAAAACAGTCAGTGTTCTTGATCTGCTTGGAGTTATGTTTTGTCCCTGGTGCTGCCTCAGACCCTAAAGTGGAGAAATGTGTGCAGAGGTGTGGACATTGACCCAATGGAACAAGCACAAAGGAGTCTTTAATTCATATTTTGGTTGTAACATTTTTGTTGTTGCTTTACCATGGTACTAAAGAGCAGGGGAGGCTTTTGTAAAAAGTGGTAAATTTAGAACATCATGTGTTACTGTTTACAAACTTTTCTAGCTTCTCAGAATGTAGTGCATGTCACAAAAGATTGTGGTGATGAAACAGCTGAATTGATGCTTGTTAAATGGAAGTTGGCAGATGCCAAAGTATTTTTTATACATACTTCATATGGATCAAAGGAAATACAAGATAGTACAACCGACTTCTCTGTTTGTTATGTCTCAAGAAATATAGTGGACATGAGTAATTCTTTTGAGCATCACCTTGGAAGTTGCAGAAAAGCATTGACTAGGGGTTTGAAAACATGTGAATTATCTGTGTAATTTTGTAAAACAACATAAAAATTTGGGATGTGTGTTCATCTTTTGTACTCTCTTGCTCTCAGGTATTCCAAGGAAACATACATCATGTTTAGTTCTTAGAGTGATGCTTATAGCAACATTCATAAACCATTTTTGCTGATTCTTATGGGTACAGTAA